TTTATTATTTTTATTTTATGTATTTATTTTTTTCTGATGGCAACATGTGCCTACCCAAAGACTTTTCTGATGTGGCCATGCTTCAAAAAAGTGGCACTCTAACCTTAAATATGTGACCCAGTGTCATTTCTTTTGTAGTTTTAAATAACAGCGTAATTTTTTCTCTAGCTTTTGAAACTTGAACGTATTCCAACCAGGAAACCCTCCTGCTCTCCACAAGAAGGAAGAGGAGTTTGTATATCAGTCCTCACCCTTCACTGAGGCTACAAACAGCCTCATTAGCATAAAGGCTTTTGGGGAGAAAAATAAATCTTGGTTGTCCAGCCTTTTGGTTGTTGGATTATGTATTTTCTTTTAAAATATCAATGGATTTCTTCATGGGTTGTTTCCATTTGAGGAATGAAATAATGGGGCTTTGGGATCTCCACGGCCTGGCCTCTGACTGGGAGACTCTGAACTGTGGGCACTTGGAGCACCTGTCTCAGAGGTGATCCTAATAAACAGTGCCATTGTCAATTAAGAGGCCAGGCAGGATATTTCTCCTGGCCTCTTGTGGCAAGGAGGAGATTGGGCAAAGGGCTATGAAACATTCCCTGATTACTCAGGTCTTACTTGGCTCTGTTTTGTCCCAGTTTCTTGCTTATTTTTCTTCCCTGTTCATCTCTCAGGCTGTGTTCCTATTACCTTTGAGTTTCAATCAGAGGAATAGCCATGCATGCCAGCAGCATAATTTTCTTCTTTTGTTGTTTCAGCCGAAAGTCTAAGACTCAAGGAATGATAATAAGATGACGATTAAGTCAGCTCTAAATTTTTGAAGGGACACTAGAGAAAAGGTTTATTATGGTTCCCACATTGCTTTCTATACATCAAAGATGTTGTTAAGATATGTTTCTCAACACAGTGTCCTCTAGCTTTAGGCCCTTTCATTGTTGCATTTGGATATGGACAATAGAAAAGGGAGCAACAGAAATGATGGAAGGCAAGGAACAGTAGAAAGAAGGTCCAAAGCCCAATTGCTTATGCTTCTTTGACTATCTATCTCCATTTATCTTAACCCTAAATATCCTCAGTGCCATTGAGCTATCATCTCTCCATCTACTATTGCATTGTGCACCACAGTTTAGCAAATACTTTTCCAACCAGATGTATTCCAAGGATACCGCCAAGAGATTGGGTGTTACTAGGAGACTGAGAACTCACAAGATCCCAACAGAGTGCCACAAATAACTACACTAAGGACTACCATGGCGGTAACAGTAAGATTATGGTTTGGCCTCCACTATGTGATAGTGGGTTTTCCATGTCCAAGTGAAGAACAAAGTGTTTCTCCCAGAATCCTTGACTATGTGATTATCAGTCTAGATGAGTACAAATTATTAATGCATAAGCTAAGTCCTGGCTAACATGAGTGCACACACAAGTGCCATATTAACTTACAGATTTCTCTGTCCTTGCCCTTGGACACACACACACACACACACACACACACACACACACTCATTTTGTATTTTCAGAAGCATATCCTGCCAGTGGCAGAACCACACTTCTGTCAATCCTGGGACTCTACCATTGATGTTTTATTCCACCTTTATGTACTTCCTTTCATTGTAATTATGGTAACTAGGAGCCCTGATACCTGTACAAGTGTGGTTCTTGGTCTTAAAACAAACAAAGCACTTCTGGGGCCCAAGAATTGCAGAAGTATGTGAAATTAATATCTGTGTAGGAGACAGGCAAAGAGTAGGCTGTGGTGTTACCTCTTGTCTCCTTTGGCATTAGACTAACCAAATGCCATCTTGTCTACCTCAGAGAAAACCCGCAGTTGTCATTTTCTTTGCAAAAGAACTGTTTTCAGTGCTGTTTTTGTTCAGCTCGCTTACTTTGTCCATGCAAATGTAGGTTACTTTTCCTGCTTGTCTAGAGGTTTACCACACATTTGTGGTTTGGGAGATGATCAAGGGCATGTTTGACTTGTAATCCAGCTGAAGACTGGAGAGGCCCGGTGCATGTGACACGGTCGCAGATTCGCAGACTGACTTCCATGCCTCCGAGCCGGCCCTGCATTCCCAAACTGCACAGATTCCTGCCTGTTGACTGGCCAAGCACTATCTTTACGGAAGCACAACTATACAAACTGGTATCGCATCCAGTGATTTCCAAATTGGTGATGCTCGGAAATCCATCCTCTTGCACTTACTTCTCAAACTGGCTCTTTGTGGCAAAGAGAGATTCATGTTGCAGCTCAGCTGGGGAAACCTGCTACCCAGGTTTTCATTTCTCCCTACACTCTCTCCCCTTCCCCTTCCCCTACATAATTTAACGTTCCTGGCCTGGATGTTATCACATGATAGCAGAATGCTATGAATTTTCATTCACAGCTTTGGGATGGTTCAGAGGCTTTCCTGCTTTCTATCCTGCCCAGACCCTGGGATTTATCACTCGCTGATCCTCCGACAGGTTGATGCAGGAAAGCACACAGAAGCCGCGTACCAGTTTGTATAGTCGTACCCTTTTGAACTCCCTTCTCTTGAACCAGTAGAGGGAGCCCTGGGGGGTGCTCATTGGCTGCTTGACACCACACAATGCCAATTCACCTGCATGCTAAAAAGAGAGAGAAGCAAAGGAAACGTTAACCCTTAGAGTACTGCTTCAATATTTTGGTTGAATAGTCTTGAATTTTTCCAGGGGGGCAATGCTTCCTTCCCCAGATCAGAGTGCTATGCAGCAAGTTTACTCTCACTCCAGCCAGAACATGCACCAGGATCCTCTCCATCACAGCTGTACCGAGATGCTCCTGGGCCTTTTATCCATCCTCTACCGACTCTTAGGAGATCTGAAACACAGCCACTGTGTTTCATGGAAAATGGGCTACCCTTCAAATGGGCTGGAGGGCGTGAGGGGGCTGATCTTTAGCCTTCCTGTATGTCCTCTAAAGGAAGGAAGTCAGTTCTTTAAGGGTTAATATGAAATCAAGGAATTTGGTGGTCTCTCCTGCTTGTCCTTCCTCCAAGGTGTCTGCATGATCCTCTTTAGATTTTAGTTCAACTTTTGAATGATAATAAAAAATTCATATCCAATTACAAAAACACCCAAAAGCCAATGAAAGAACAAAACACTGAATGGTTGAATGGAAAACCCCTGGCAACGCTTGCTTGATGATCCCAGGGGGTAGAAAGAGCAAATGTTTTATTTGATGAACATTCATTTTGTCCTTTACCTTGTATGCTACTATTTCTTAGCATTGTGAAGATTTGATGATGTTTTTCACTTACTTCTTGTTTTTCTTCTTCCTGTCTAATAGCCCAATAGAATCCTGCCAGAATTTCTACAAAGATTTCACATTACAGATCGACATGGCTTTCAACGTGTTCTTCCTTCTCTACTTTGGCCTGCGGGTAAGTGTGGCAACATGGCTCAACCCTGCAATGCCATGTGCAGACTCACACATAGGGGGACCCAGCCACAGCTGCTCCTTTGGGCAAGGTGAAGTCCAGTGTTCCTGTCATAAACAGTGTCCTTGGACTCTGATTTCCAGATGATGAGGGAATTCCTCTCCTTAGTTGTCTTTTCTGGAATACTTTGTTAATTTTGTTTCAAAGGGGGAGGAAAGGGGATTGAAAATGATCACTTCTGCTGGCCCACCATTCAAGCATGAATACTGTTCCCTGAAAAGCAAACAAATGAATAAACTTCTCAGGACTGGGGACATAACTCAGTGTGAGAGAGCTTGCCTAGCTTGTGCCTGACCTTTCAGCTCTATTCTGTTCAGCAGGGCTCACTCAGCTGGGGGGCAATTGTGAGGATGAACCAGCAAGATAGATAGACAGGCAGGCAGGCAGGCAAACACACACACACACACACACACACACACACACACACACTTTAGGGCTTGGAGGATTTATTCTAAACCATGTTTAGAAGAGGTGTTACACAATATTTGATTTACAAAGATGGATATGAATTAATGTGCATATTTGCTTTATTTACATTTTTTCTTTTACATTAGAGAGTCCAAAGAAGGTAAGGTGACTAAACTTTTCCTCTAAGATTGTTAGAGACCAGGGAAAAATCTGTTGTCTGATCTTTTCCTAATGCTAAGACAGCATATAAGTCCCTCTACAAAAGGCTACGAATCAAAGAAAATAAATGTGTTATCCAAGTATGAGAAGAACATAATGTCTCTTCTGGACCTCCCCAGAATCCTGAATCTACTCTTTGGTAAAAGAATGTAGATTGAATGCTACCTCTGTGCATCTCATTTTCCCCCTTATTTCTTCTTTTCCCCAGTTCATTGCAGCCAATGACAAGCTGTGGTTCTGGCTGGAAGTGAACTCTGTAGTAGATTTCTTCACGGTCCCTCCCGTGTTTGTGTCTGTGTACTTAAACAGAAGTTGGCTTGGTAAGTGCATCTTGTTTGCTTTTACTGGCTCCTGAGCCCTGGTTGAAATAGAGAATCTGGGGTGGGGCAGGGCTGGGCTATTCCTATACAGAGAAAGTTTCGTGCCTTAATGTGAACAATTCTCATCTAATTTTTGAAGTTGATGGCAACACCTCTCTTTGAGGTACTTGTCCAACAGGACCTACCTGCCCAAGTGGTGCTCCATGTAATGAAGTCTTATCATTGTTGAAGCCCTTTGGTCATCACTGTCACAGCCAGGACCTCTGTGTACATGGTCCTGTCATTTTTCATTGAGGAGGGTAGAGTCACAACTGGTTAAGCTGCACATAGGAAAAAGCCCAACTTTGCAAGTGGCTGGTTGAGGTGTCCCAAAAGCCCAGCTGCCAAGGTTAGTTTCTATCTACTGTCCATTTTTATGACAAGTGCATCCTGCTTGGCCTATTTTTAGTTACAGATTCCTTTGTGAGGCAGGACAAAGAGAAGGTTCTCAAGTATCCTCTCAGATGACAGGAGACTGAAATTTGTTCCTGTGTACAGGAGATTTTTTCTGGTGCTATGCTCAGCAGCTCACTTCCTGTAACTAAGGTCACTTCCTATCTATGCTGTGAGGTCACTTCCTGTATCTGCTCAAGAGGTCACTTCCTCTGCTCTGAGGTCACTTCCTGTATCTGCTCAAGAGATCATTTTCTGTCTATGTTCAGAGGTCACTTCTTGTATCTTCTCAGAAGGTGGCATCTTGTGTCAGGTGGGAAAATGAATGAACAGTTTGAAAAGTTATTTCGCATCTTCTTTTTAAAAAATGTATTTAGTACAGGGTCTCACAACATAGATTGGACTCTTAGTGATCCTCCTGTTCTCAGCCTCCCAAGCACTGGAATTATAGGCGTGTGCCACCATGCCCAGTCTTAGTCACCATCTCAGTGTGCCCTGGGGGGCAGGGCTGGCATGACCCTGGGGATCAAACCCAGGTCCTGTGCTTGCCTAAGTGGGCATTTTAGTCCTCTGAGCTATCTGGCTGGCCCTTAGTTTGCATCTTTATTGATTTATTTATTTTTCTATAATGTCAAAGTGTTTCCACTGCCATCGGGTCTTACTAGGGAAGAAAGGAGAACTTTTTTGGGTTCCCTTCTGTCTTTATATTGAGGATTTTTTTTCCATCTTCTTTCCACCTTCCAGAATCTTCTGACATTTGTCTGTTATATCCAGAGATTCTGAGTTGTCAGAGGGAAGACAACATAGAAATGGGTACATTTTATTTTAGCCAGAACTAGAAGACCTCTTCCTATACATGTGAAAGAAATGGCTATTATTTTATTTTATTTTTTTGATTTTTTGATTGAGAAATAAATATGAATGAGACAGTTTCATAGCTGATTAATAGTACAGTTTTGATAGTCAATACACTGTACATTGCTATCTTCTTAGTGTTTATCCATTGTACAAGAAGCAGACAGGATATTCTGTCCAAACACTGTTAGTACACCTCTTTCTTCTCATTGAGTTTGGTGAAAGTAGCTGTAAATTTATCCTATTTTGTATATATAAATACAAAATGATCTTTCCTTTGTATCTTTTTTTTGTCCTGTCAGAGGTGAATATTCTATTGGCATCTAAATACTATAGATGTTTGAATTCAGCTAAACAATTTAACACTGTCTAGCAGTCTATAGTATTAGTGGGTTATTCTCAGAAGTTATTGACTTGAGCCTTTTACAGCTCATCGTATTAATATGGATTTACTTTCTATATCTCATTTTTATACTTTTCTGCTGGATGGTTAAGACCAAGATATAGCAAGACCTATATACCAAGAAATGTAACTTTTGTATCTGATAAGGTCAGCCAAGTACTGTCAGGATTTATCCTGTAGCCCTGTACTGCCCTTTGTACATCCTTTTGTCAGTGTCTGACATGAGGATGAGTCACAGCCATTGCTTGACCAATTTGCTCTCTGTGAAAGCTTGAGAAAATGTATTTTCTCTCCGTGTGACTTTCCCCAGGTTCACTTTACATCATCGAACACATTCTCCTGTGGCTCCATAATCTCCTTGATCAGAAAATTTGGAACACAACTGAGTTACATGTTGTTACCATACAGGTTCTCCTGTGTCCCGAGTCTCCACTGACCTTGAGAGGCTAGGGCCAAAATGTTGGCTAACCATGTGAGGACTGTTTGGCTTAACTTTTTTTCAAAGTAATATGTATAAATTGTGATTAATGAAAACACTCAAAGGCATGCAAAGAAAATATTGCTCATTCTCGTCTGTCACAGACCTGTGCGCAAGATGCTTCACGTTAACAGACGTCCACATCTTTCTTTCCTGCTCATTCTACCACAAACACATGTATTTGTACACAGCACAGACTGTGTTAAAAAGTGCTTATATGAGAAACTTATCAATCACGTTGTACTGCTATGTGATTGCAGTACACAATCTTGCAGTTCTTACTGATGCATGGTAGATATCTCTTTATCTCTACAATAAATTCATTTAATTCAACTTTATAAGTTGTTTAAATTCCATCATTTGTTTGTATCATGGTACACACAGCCACAGTCCTAGGGATAAACCAGCTAATATTTTTTTTTCCTTTTGCCACAATATATGTTTCTGTAAAGCATCCTCATCCACATAGTTGTATTTCTCCAGTTAGTTCTACATTCCTGGAAGCAGAATTGCTGAAGTAAAGAATATACATATTTTATTTTGTAGCTATTGATTGATAACTTTCCAAAAATGTCACATCAAAATGTCCTTCCACTTACTGGCATGCTTTGATGTTGTTGCTAGCACTGTAAATTTATTACATACATAAGGTGAAATCATCTTTAATAATAGTAAATGTGGTAATCACATGTGTACACAGACATATATGTATGTACGTGTATGTGTGTGTCTGCATTGTCCTAAGAGTCCTTATAAGGGTTTTAAAATTATTTTTCTCATTAGAATGGTATTTTCTCGCTCAGTGGAAAAGTTCTCTTGCTCTACCTGCATTGTGCTTAGATGGATTTGGTATTTCAGCCAGAATGATGAGCCCCTTAGAGCTTCATGCAGCTGAGGGTAACCTACAGTGTAGGCTCGGGAGTGTTTTGGGGGTAACCTGTGTGGCTATGTACAGTTACACCAGTCAATTTTGTGACAGGGGAAACTCACTTTTCTTCACTTCATAGTTTCACTGTTTTTGCCCTCCATAAGGTAAATGCTGGGCTAAGTGATCTCCAAGGTCCTCTCAGCTCAGAAAGCCTTCATGACTCTTGGGTCATCAATGAGAAGTTTTGGAACTACAGTGATACTTTACATGTTGAGCTCTATTCGTTTCAAATTTGTGTGCAAACACCAAAATGTTTGAGAACTGAACATATGATTCCAAAAAATAGCAGAAAACCAAAAATCAATTCTGCTACATGAATGGTGAACAAGTTGAAGGCCCCAAATTTTATAAATTCATTTCTGTAGGACTTTCACAAATTTTACCATGATTTCATACTTTAACTTGATCAGGGTTCTCGCAGTTTTCTTCTTAGCTTTGTTGTTGGTATGACTGGCTGTCTTTGGAGCCATGGCCCAAAGACAAATGTTTTAATGCACTGACACAAGCAGGGTGCATGTTCTGCATGAGGGCATGCTTAGACGGAGCCACCCTCCCTTTGGGGCCACGTGAGACCCAATGAGGGACACCCTCTCTGCAGTTCAGGATCTTTCAAGTTGGATTTTTTGCTTTGTCCTTTCGGGCAAAGTTACAAACTTTGAGCAGAGTCTTTTCAGATTTTGCAGTTCAAGTTGTGGAAAGGGAGCCTGGAACCACTGGACAACCAATGTGTTACCGTAGATTGTTGGGGAGGACGTTAGTGACATTAACTTAGTGAAAATCATAGATAAGCTTTTAACTAGGGGTCTTCCTAACATAAACTGTTGCTCAGAGTTAAACACACACCCACATACGTGCTGTGTATGTACACACACATCCACCCTGTGCCCCTAACTCCAAACAGATGGGGAAGGGAGAAGAGAAGAGAGAAGAGGAGGAAATGCCTGCCTTTCCTGGCTGTGCTGCAGTTTTCCCCAGTACTTGAACATTGACTACTGATTTCTGGGCCCTCCCTCAGTTCTCCTATTTAAACAATGGGGATTTGGGACTAAATCACCTTCCACTCTGCTCACTTCATGAATGTGAATTACATGGTGTGTGTCCAGTCGTCCTGGCCCCCTGGGCCTGGGTGGTTGGATCAGTCTCTTCATGAGTGGTCGAGACACTCAGAAAGAAGCAGATCCTATCCCAGGTGAATGTGTGCAGCTGGCTTTCCTCATAGCAAAGTATTCCCTAAACTATCTGGGCATCAAGAGTACTTGGATACTTCTGAATCCATACCCTCTATGTGGATGACCTCAGCATGATGCTTAGAGGTACTTTCTCATCTACTGACAAGATCTGTTGGCATCAACACAGGAAGGGGAATCTTCTTCCTTTCCTTTCCTTTCCTTTCCTTTCCTTTCCTTTCCTTTCCTTTCCTTTCCTTTCCTTTCCTTTCCTTTCCTTTCCTTTCCTTTCCT